TATCTTAGCTATTTAAACTTTAACTTAAACACATCACTGCAAAATTAAAGATTATGTCGACATAGCACGCATTCGAACGCAACGGCTTGTTTGGATGTTCCTAATGCGCAGAGGAGAGGAGTGAAATATTTTGCTAGCATGTGTCTTTCCATTCAATTACAGCGTATGTGTCTTCAAGGCAAGAGTGAATAGGCTGTTGCTAAGTTAAGGCAGTGTGCTTTACGGACATTATCACCTCTTACAATCAGTTGAGATAGTAGTTAAGTATAATGGTTAAGAAAGTTCGAATCAGACCAAAAGTGAATTTTACTGCCATGTACAAAAATTGCTAATTCAATCCCTTATTCTGCCTATGTTTGATTATTCTGATGTGTGTTAGATAGATAGATAATTCTTTATTGTACACCAAATCAATACATAAACGAAAGAAAAAGAAAAAAAAAGTGACAAAATGTCACTTTTTCGCTTATCGCTAAAAGCGATTTCTTCTAGACAACCTTTGGATGATCAGGGTTACAAAAAGCAGAAAATTGTGTGGTTTAGTGATGCAGAAACAACTTTTAATTAAGATTTTATTATAGTATATAAAAATAAATAACAAATAAAGACATAAAATACGAATGTATACATATAAAGATGGCACAAATTTAAAGGTTAAGATAGTGATTGTGTACAAGCTTCTGATACTTAAATATACATTTTTTAAATTAATGAAGAAATATAATAGAATTTTAATTGTATTGCGGTGAATTTCACATTACGATCTGTACTGCACACGTCAGTATCGAATTCCTGCCGCATCGGCCCCAGTGTAGAGTCCACCTGAAAGTGCCGCCGGAAAAATTGGCGATACCAGGTGGCTCATGAACATCAGCCACGATCACAGGAAGGCTCAGCTTATAGTTCAATTTATATATTTCCAAAACTGCCCGAATGTCTTGTTTTTGAAATGTTATGCTCTCATATTTATTTTTATTTGTTGTTGCTTGTTCTGACACCATTTTAGTTCTGATTTATATTATATATAAAATCTACAACGGTTATTGTTTTTTTTTTTATAGAATAAGGGTAATAAACGAGCACACAGTCCACCTGACGGTAAATAGATGCTGTGGTTTGGCTGGTAGTTATATTAAATCATAATAACACTCAATAATAGATCTTACCCAGACGAAACGAGTGGGTCGCTAGTATACTATATAACTGACTTATAATAATAGGAGACTGCATTTTGATTCTTAAATAAGATGTCTATGGACCCACAGCATTTACTTCACAATAAATTGACTGTGTGCACGTTTGTCATCCTTACTTCAATAAAATCTCATATTAGGATTTTATTATGTTTATTTATTTATTTATTTGAACTTTTTTTAAAGTTAAGTTACTCAGAGTAGGGTTTTCTCCTGGTCTTGTACAATTTATACATGCTTTACATTCATAATCCAGACTCGAATCAATTATGTTTTTTAAGCCATACAAACGCTTCGTGCGGGACTTGAACCCGAGCCCTAGCAGCCGACTCTTCGTCATCTCGAAGTCACTATGCTATGGCGCCATCGGCATTTACATATAATTGTATTAAATACATTAATAAAAAGGTCGATTACTAAAGGGTGGAATTTATGTCTTTTGGAATTTTCTCCCCATCAACCCGGGACGTCATACATTTGTATTATTTTAAATATAGCTGTAATAAACAATCTTTCATGTACTTTTAATAAGAAAACATATCTTTTTTTTTGTAATTATTGTAAGCTATAATATCTGTGTAGATCGATTATCACATGATCAATAACGTATGAAAGGCGTGTCACGTATAGATATTTTGTTTTTATTTTAAGCGCACACATGCGTTAACCAGGCAGAATGTAGCTATAGTTGTTTCAAAATTGGAACTCTGCCCGGCGGGTTTGTCGTTTGCTTGCTAGCTCAGTTCTCATGCGTGATTACGACAAAAAGATTTGAGATTTCTCTAGTTTATTATTATTTATACGAAAATTCAGTTATCTGCGCAATATTTAGCTAGATTTTTATTTTTGTTATCCACTGGAAGTATATAAAGAATTAAAATTATATATATGCAGACTTTGTTTACGTTCGAAGTGCTAGTGTTTAAAATAGAATCTTTTATTAGATCTCTTCGTTAATCCCAATGGCAAAATGGATATTCTGCATGCAGCGATTGCAAAAGGTAAGACATTGTATACGATAATTTATATTATTAGCGCTAGTGGCTATTATTTTTATTGAAATATTTAACTCCATACAAATTCAATTTATCTAATCATAGAATAAGACTTTTGAAAATTATTTGCAAATAAAATCCGATGTTTAGTTCATATAACTGCAGTCTTGTCAAACTAAAAGACGGTTCTTTATATCAAATTTTTTTTATTTCAGTTGCTGTGTATTACCTTTAAATCAAGTAATGAATGAAGAAGATAGATCATATAATATTTTTAAAGTTCCTATTATAAAAGCAGAATCGGAAACTCAAACTGCAGGAAGATTAGTTTCTAAGACTCCAGATCAATCAGAAATAGTGAAAATGGACGGCGAATCGCCAAAAGAGTATATGTCCATTCGGAAAAGAAGAAATTTGTCAAAAATTAAAGGGCACATTGCAAAACAAAGAGAAAAAACACCAGAACCTAGTCGAACTCCTGTTCCTCACGAAGATACGACAACTTCGGATGACGAGGACCTTCACTCACACAAAAATTCAAGAGAAATCGAAGCAGATAAAACCTATGAAGAAATGAAACGGTTAGTTCAAGAAAAAGCAAATTTGAGAGACCCTGTGTATGACTTAGATAGAGATGAAGTTCTTGAAGCTAGAGCAATAGCAGCTAATGAGCGACGCCGCAGGAGTATATCACCTTTTGCAATTCCAGATAAAGAAGAACTTTCCAGCCTAGAGCGTAAGGGAAGCTTCACTAATCCGACAAATAAACTTTTATCAACAAATTATACGCTGAGCCCTAAAGATGAAGATAAAGGTAGACGAAGTTCAATATCAATTGATACTTCACGAGTAAATGAAAAGGGAAGCTCTTTGTCCCCTCCAGCAACGGCAAGTTCATCACCAAGAGATAAAAGTTTTCCTTATCCTTTACCAAGTACTCCAAAAAAATTAGAAGAATTAGTTTATCCTGATGAGGTTTTAGAGAATCAAGTAGTGGAAAAAAGTAATAAATCAAAACTTTCATCTAAAAATGAAAAAGTTATTGCTTTAGAAGAAAAAGACAACACTAAAGTCCACAAAACAAAAATTCCTAAGTCAGTAGACTCAACCGCTTCTACGAGAGTTATTCAAGTAGAAAGAACTCCAAGTAAAAAATTGACTCATGATGAGAAACCTATAGTAGAAACAAGGGAGCGAATTGTTAGAACTCCAAGTAGAAAAACATCAACAGATATGAAGCCAACAGTTGTTAAGCAAATACCTAGTAAATTAATAAAAGAAGAACCAAAAAGTAAAACGCCACCTGTAAAACCTGCCAGAAGTAAATCTGCAACACGTTTAGGGGTCAGTTTATACGCGCAGATTTTAGTATTTTTAATATTTATTTTGTTGATAATATTTTATTTTAATTTCATATAACGAAAACGTTACAGAGAAAAGTAAATGAAAACTAATTTAAAATGTAACTGTAGTCTGTGGAAGGAAATTAATGCTTATTAATTTATGATAACATTTACAGAGCAAAACAAGTGAGAGTGAAATGAGTGAAGATCAACTATATCAACAAAGAATAAATGGCAACATCCCCAAGCGTAAAGTTGTCCCGACACCACGGCGGTTTTTGAAAAATAAGTCACCAAAAGTTAATCGTTCACAATCATTTAATAGACCAATAGAAACAGGGATTAATGTACCAAGTGGTACAGAAATAAGTCAAACTAGTAAAGAAATTATAGAGCTAATGCAGAAGGCAAGAGCAAGGAGTCTGTCAATACCAAAAGACGATTCAAGGTTACCATCTGAGTATAAAAACTTCAATAATAAAACTTTACAAACGCCTAACAAAACTCCAACTAGTTTAAGACACAAAAGAGGAATATCTTGTCCTAAAACTATTCAAATAATAAGCGACAAAGAAATATTATTAGGACTTTCTTCAAAGCAGAAGTCAGATTCAGAATATGATAATCGTAGTAGACAAAGTTCAGGTTATATTGATGCAAGTCAGTCTGAGTACACCTCCAGTTGTTATTCTTCTTCACCAAGTGAAAATGAATATGAGTTTGATTTATCTGAGCGAACCGCTGAATTAACGCGTAAATTAAATCTTTTAAGTCAAGAAGTGGACAAAAGGGATTTATCGGGAAATATTATTTTAGCCCCAGTTAATGAATGTATTCAGAAAACTAATTCAGTTACATTTCAACAAAAACCTGTTTTAAAAAAAAGGAGTAATTTAGAACTTAAAAAGTTATCTCAGCAAAATATTATAGACGAAACAAACATAAGAGATAAAAGTGATATGGGGATTAGTATTAATAAACAAAAGAAAACCAATTATAAATGGAAAGTGTTTTCGCATTGGTATCAATTTAAGGAAGAGCAAAACGAAGTATATCAAAAAATTAAGTTACTAAGGAACCGATGTATTTGTCATATATTGCTTTTAGTTATTATGTGTGGATTTGGAGGAATGATATTTAAGGCCTTAGAAGGATCATTTGAGAATGCCTACAAATGTGGTACTAGGAATGTAAAAAGAGATTTTATCGAGAGTCTTTGGCGTGGCAGTCACTATCTACGAGAAGAAGATTGGAAATCTATGGCTAGGAAAAAACTTTTTGAATTTGAAGAGCAATTACATACTGCACATGAAGCTGGTGTTACATCTTACAGTGGACAGAGATCTTGGAACTTTATGAACTCTTTTGTTTACTGCCTCACGTTAATTACAACTATTGGTAAGAATACAAAACATTATGATTGGCTGTGGATAAATAAATTAAAAAAAATCTTTCATTTGTTTTTTATTCAAAACATTTCAACAGGTATTATAATTTGAATAAAGAACAAGTAAATAAGCATTTTAATTGTTTCAAATTACAGGTTACGGTCACATAGCGCCCAAGACGACGTATGGTCGTGTAGCAACAATAGTATATGCTATAATTGGGATTCCACTGTTTCTGATTGTACTAGCAGACTTCGGAAAATTGTTTACCCGAATTATAAAATTTTTCTGGGCTTTTATAAGGCGATTTTATTACACTAGAAGCTGTAAGAAAGTACGAAGGACGGTTCCAGTACAGGTGAGCTAAAATATGCTTAACTTAAAATGCTTCAAATTAGTAAAAATATTTGTGTGTTTTACAAATTTATTTATATTGCTATAATATTAAAAACATACTTAGTTTATATTGTTTGAATTATTTCAAATCTATAGTTAATAGTGTTAAGTATGTATTTGACATGACACTGAAGTTTTAGAAATTGATTAAAATTTTGGGGCTGATTTTTCAATCGACATTAAAAATTATCCGTCAAGTAAATTACAACCTGACTGAATATAAAAGTGTGAAACTGTTTTACTTATACAATTGTATTTTTTATAATCTCTTTATATTATAGTTTATCCTAAGAGTAAATTTTACCTGAGATTTGAAAAATCCGCCCTTAATATAATAAATATTATTGCCTTTCTGTTTATATACACGTACAATCATAAGTTAAGCAGTTGTTAATTTCAAATCTGAATGTATCTATTCCTGTAATAATAATTATACCAAAGTTATACACATTTCCATGTTACCAAAATAAGATATAGTTGTCGTTACAGCCCATCAATAGTCCACTGCCGTACATAGGCCTACCACATAATTTTTCTCATATGGGGGATATTTGCCATAGTCGCCACGCTTTGCAGGTGGGCTGGTAAGCGCAATTTATTATTTTTTAGTTGTTGTCACAAAGACGCTGCTGTCCGTCTCCTGGTGTGTTTCTCTCTCTTGTCTGTTACAGCACCCAAGAGACGATATGAGGTAGTGAACATTCTTACACCGCCAATACACGGAGGTAATAATTGATAAACAGTGTTGTGTTTCCTAAATTGTAAAAAATACATAATTACAGGAAGTTATGAAGGGACTGAATATTGTTTACGACGTCGTACGGCGACCCTCTCAAATATTTTCTGAAGAGGATATAGATAGAAAATTAAGCGACGATGTACCACCTCCTTTACCACCGAAACCTGGAACATTGAAACCAGACCTAGAAAATGCAACGGAACCAGATACTCCAGCACCGTCAGTGTTTGAAATAGATGATGAATTTAACTTACCAATTTCAGTAGCTATTGTTATTTTAATTATTTATATAATTATTGGAGCTCTTGCGTTTAATATCTGGGAAAGGTGGGATTTCTTTGAATCTTTTTATTTTGTCTTTATATCAATGTCTACAATTGGTCTAGGAGATCTTGTCCCCGATCATCCAATGTTCATGATGGCATCAATTTTGTACTTAATTTTTGGTTTAGCACTTACTTCCATGTGCATTAACGTAGTTCAAGTAAAATTATCTGATACTTTTAAGCAAGCCAGTGCCAAATTAGGGGCAACTATTGGCCTGAAAGTTGCCGAGGAAGATGGTAGCTTAGTTCCTATAACACCACCACCAGTAATCATAGCTCCCATTCATAAGTCTAAAACAGAGATATCAGCCATAGATAATAATAAAAGCAGCGACATTAACGACATCGAAAGTAAAAATAGGTAAAAGTAAAGAATTATTAATTTCCATGATTAATAGAAAACGAATGCTAAATGTAAGGTGCTAAAACTTTATAATATTTTCGTATTGTAAGTGATATTGTTACTTATAAATTAAATATGATTGGATAGTAATAATACCATAACCGCTTGATGCTTTATCTAAATAAAAATAAAAATAAACACCTTTGTTTTTATTTATACAAAAACGTTCTGTGATTAAATGGGGTTAATGAAAGAGGCAGACACATGAAAAGCGTAATTTCAATTAATTTATATAATTATAAGAAAATGAAGACGGTACACTTGTCTTATTATGTTTAGTAGTAGAATAATAACAGAGTACGGAGATGGCTTTAAGCTTAAACATCAACAGAAATCAGTCGAGTATAAATAAATTACTAATATTATTAGAAGCTTTTTTAACAAGTAATTTCATATATTGTATTAGAATGCAAACATGTTTGGAATATATTGCACATTACAGATACGATGCAATTATCATCAGAACTTCACCCTCTTATTGTGTAACACACTCATCGTCAACATTTATTTTGAATAATAAAACTTAAATATTATGATACATTTTTCTGAAAATAAACTCCTTACAATCTAGACGTAAGCATTAAGTTGCCGGACATAGACCTACCACATATTAGGGAGAATTTGCTGTAAATACGAGTACAACGCTTGTTGTCTTCCCGTTATATATATAGTAATTTGTAATAAATTTAATGGAATGTATAATAAATTTTGCAAAATAGGTGTATGAAATATAAATAAGTTTTCATTTTATTTCTAGTCATAGTACGGTATATTCTTTTTTCATAAAATATAACTTTTCATTTGTTTTTATTAATTTAGTTAGATACCTAACCGCTGTGAAATTTATACCGATGAGGAGGATTTCTATACCACGTGTGATTGATATAATAATGCTTTAAAAGTTTCAATAAGCCGATGAGTTTCTTTTTCCCGTCGTAAAACTTATAATTTACATATTCTTGAACTACGAGCACATCGTAATACTGAAGCATTAAATTAAATATTTTATTTTCTGTTGCTATTAAATCCAGAAGACTTTCGTTACACCACTTTATTGCTGGCAGTATTGTATTCATGTTTAAATGATTAAGTTTATAGTAATATTCTAACGAAAATAACCCTTCTTTAACATCATTGAATTTGTCTAATATTTCATCGTTTTGAAAAATATATTGTTCTAATATGCTATAAATTTGGTGACCGTTAAATGTACATGAGGAAGTTTCAAAATTTTCTAAACTAATATCGTCCTCACATTGTAAGTGTTTATTGACATTGTTCTTCAAGAATCTATTAAAAATTTCTGAACTTTCTAGTAAATAAGCATTTTCAATTTGACCTTCTTGAAAAAATTTGATCAATAACAGATTCAGCACTAGACTAGGAATTGAGACTGGAAGTATTTCACACAAGGGATCCATATGGCTGTATCTTGACCAACCAGTTAAAATGATTCCTTTAAAATTGTATATTTTATTTTCACCGCCAAATTTATAGTGGAAAATGAATTTAAGCCATTCCACGTGATTTATAAAACGATTTCTTAAACTGGGTAGAGTAGCGGTGCGTCCTTCAGCTCCTTTGAATGCTGATGCTATCCAGATGTTCTCAAAGTTTTTATGATACTTGTAGAGGTTGTTATGTGAGACGCGTAAAAAGGGCGCATAGTCCCAGTACACTGGCTCTGTATTGGTTAAATCCCTATGTTCAAAATCATTCAATTTGATACCGCGCAGCATATCATCCCAAATTAAAACTGTCGTGTTGGGGCTCCAGAGCTTCACAATGTACTTTACTTTTTGTAGATGATTAAAATAAATGTCTCTGAAATGAAAATAATAGTATTTTAAATACTAAATAAAGTAAAAATGTTAGCTAGCGAACGGTTAATATGTACAAAAAATAATTAAGTTTATAGAAATTTTCATGTGTCACACATGAAACCAATTTGCTGTAGTTTTATTTATATTTATTATAATTATAATATAAATGATTTGATTAAAGAACAAAATAATGAGATAGTCATTCTAGTCATGTACCAATAAAACTATGTCCATATTAGCAGATGTTTTTAATATTATAGTGAGAATATTAGAACACATTGTAACGAAAACGCGCTTCTGAAAGAGTACATATGCAAAGAAATAAACTATATGATTTCATTTTACGACTTTCATTTAATTTTTCTTATATATATTTTCGCTTTAAAATATTAAAATACCCTGATGGTAATAAGTGCTAATAATTTATCGCTCACCAGATGTCGCTAGTTGGGACTGCAGTGAAGTCATTTGGTACACAGTGCCACCATATTATGTGGAAAGTTACGTTTAAAACTAAACTTTTTCGGTTCCTACTGTATACATCTACATGCAACAAATAGTGTCTCGGTGGTCGCCCTTTAATTTTTTGTATATAACTTTCTTTTTAATTATTTTACTTTTAGAAATTTCCGTAGTTTAATATCATAAACATAGTTCTTTATATTCTACAGATAATTTATAGTAACCTCAAGTAAAAACAATCTGAACTATATTTCTGATATTAAGTTCTGGTGTTTTCATTTAAAACTAAGTAGGTAGTATTTAATACATATTACAATTAAAAACTATTATTTAATATTATTTAATATTTTACAACAGCTTAAAATAGTCATCGTCATATCCTATGAATACGTATCCAGTAGTTTCCAGGTTTGAAGCTCACAAAAAATTATATATACAAAAGAAAATTTGCTGATTTCTTTAACAAACGACAACAGAAAAAAGTAGCTTTGATATTTAATTTTGTATAGTTAATTCTACTTGTATATCTAAAAATGTATCATAGCCGTGTAAAGCTAATTTTTGTAATAAAGTCTGCGTTAAACCATTAAGCAGTAATTAATTATCTGTAATGGCACACTACTCAAGAATAACCACCCGTTTGTATTTGCTTTTGTTACACAAATCTTTGATTACGTGATTAAACGAATGTAAAACTTTATGCATCAATCTTGTTTACATCATAATAATTTACGTAATTATGAATTTTAAAAAAATCAGTGTTTTTTTAAGAACTAATAACCAAATGAGCAATAACCTTGAAAGTTGCCGTGTATTTCCTTCTAATCAGTGTTCCGTTGTATCAGTGAATGCTATTTAATAGAAATAGCATTTGATAACAGAAAACACTAAAGGACAGTTAATCTGACTATAATGCATTTCATAAGCGATAGACCTGCTACCTTGTACCGAAATAAAACTGTGTTTTTTTTATTGGATAAGGGTAACAAACGAGCACAGAGTCCACCTGATGATAAGTCGTTGCTGTGGCCCATAGACATCTACATCAATCCTCCATTATGAATCAAAATGTAGATGCGTTGTCACCCGTGAGGACTAAGACGAAATGCCTCGTTTCCAGTAAAAAGGGTCCGGTTCTCTACATTCACTCTACGAAACACAGCAGCATTAAGCTGTTAATTTACGCTGGTATTCTGTGAGAGCGTGGTCCTTCCCCGGTCGAGCCCACCCATTCGTTCTACAACTATACCAGTATACGAGCTGCAACATGACTCTACCACGTATAATGTTTTACTTAATTGTGAACCTGAGCTGAATAGAATTGAATATGAAAGGGATCTGGAAGTAGCAGATGACACAATGATTGTGGGACGTGTTGTGACTAATTTACGGGGCTGATGAATTGGTCACAAGAAAATTGTAAAAGGGTTCAAATTTTGGCTGTGAATAACGTTGAAGTCATTGACAATGTGTTACAATTAAGTAAACGAAATACATTGAAATTAACAATAAATATTCAGATTAATTAGAGTAGTTCTAGCCCTCCTGCATGCTAAAGGTCAGAGTTGTTGAGAATAAAAATCTGTCAAATATTTACCTCATTACAAAACAGTGCCACCCAGGTGGCGAAAAAAGTTGTGGATGTCTCATTGGCTACAGCAATCCATGGACGCCTACAGTTAACTTCAAAGAAAAAAGCTACAAATACATTGTCACCTCTGTGTAATTAATTGTACTTGCTTTCTATACCTTTCAAGCCGGAAAACAAAAGTACAAGCATTGCTATATGGCGACAGAAATAGGTAGGAGAGTGGTACATGCCTAGTGGGACTCCTTTAAAGAAATGGAGTCCTACTACCTAGAAAATAGTGTTGCTATCACAGGTTCACAGGTCTAATTATTTCCAAATTTTAATGGTTTATTATATCCATATTGATAGGGAATTCAAATATTCAATATATGAGAAAAGTAATTTTAACCAGTACGTATTTAGTCTGCTTCTGAAACTTTTTATGGATGGTACAATTATAATGGGATCCGTCAAATATAAAGAGTTTATGATGATTAAGCACTTACTGCGATTGCTGTAACACTTATTATCATAAAATAAATGTGTTACGCAGATGTTGAGAGCACCATAGCAATTTTACAGTTGGGTTTGACTTAATTTAAAGATCATTTAAAGTTAGTAAATTTACTGAATATTTTTTTAAATATAATACGAAATCAATGTAATGTGAAATCCGTCTTCCGCACATTTCCTTTCACGTTTTTTTTTTCAGAAACCCTTTCTTACGGTGTAAGTAAAAAGTTGCAATCTACTGGACCTACTGGACTGAACACAGACCGCTTATCATTATTGAAAAGTTTTAAGGACAGCGAAAAAAATCCCGCCCTATAGCAACTCGTTATGGCGGACTTCAAATGTCCTTGAAATATTGCAATTAACAATTTCAATGGTGGCAACTCAGATCAAACTCATTTGCATCGAATAATAGGTTAAGGCAAACACTCAGTTACTGACAGTTTAGTTATAGTGTAAGTATATTCACTGCTCAATATAGTGCCATGTACGTCGTTGAGGGTGACCTAGAGAAACAAACTAGGAGATTGGTAGCTGTGTCTTACTAATAAGACTGCCAGTGCCATTGAGGCAATGTTTACAGAGGTCTGTGCTCAGCAGTAGACTTTTGATGAGTTGTAACGGTAACTGTAGGTTTGATGGGGGTGTGGTCGAGCTATTAATACATTTTACAATAATTACTAACAGTGCGAAACGTCGGCGGTGAATTTGGCGTGAAATTGATCGGGAACCTTTTTTCTCTATCGGTTGTCGATTTTACGAGCTATATGACCGGCCCATTGCTACTTCAGCTTACAACTCCGTTTAGCTATGTCTGTCACTCTGGTTCTACTGTCGATATCCTCATTTTTAAGTTTATCATACAGAGAAACTCCGAACATAGCCCTCTCGCTGAGCGACTCATCATACGGCCAGCAGTGAAGGTCCAAGTTTTAGAGCCACAAGTCATCACTGACAACGCACTGGTTGTACACGCTACCCAGCCGAGTTGAATCCGCCGATTGACCTCTCGGCCGAAGTTGGACTTACCTAGTCGTAGCATTTGTCCCAGGTAAACATATTCGTCAAAAATTTCGAGCTTAGTGCTTCCAACAACTACCGGCATAGGTGTGACATGGACGTTAAACATGATCTTTGTTTTATCCATGTTCATCTTAACGGATAGGCCGTTGGGAGGCAATATTGAGGTCATTGAGCATAGTGCTTAGGTCCTTCAGCGAGTCTGCCATAGGAACTCTATCGTTGAAAAATTGAAGATTGATTACCGTATCCTTTCCAGTCCAGTAGCTTGAAATCATCTTCCAATGCAGTGGTGAAGAGTTTCGAAGATATAACATCACCCTATCCTACACCTCTCTGCAGTTAGATAGGTTTCATACTCTGTTTCTGTACTCGGGTAGCCATCGTAGCAATACTGTATAAGCACTTCAGTACTTCGATAATTCGATATACCTACAGTCAACTAAGCATCACTGAAGGGACTGCAGCATGATCCAAATTTCATTATACTCTTCGGTCTTATGTACAAATCGCCGAAGGGTATGTATGTGGTCTATGGTGCTAAAGCCTTTTCGGAAACCGGCTTGTTCGGGAGTCTGGAAGTCGTCGAGTCTATTTGCGCAACGATTCGTTATGATTCTCAAAAACAGCACGTAGACGTAGTTTAGAAATAGGTATGTTAGAAAGAACTTGAAGAACAAGACCATCGCACTTAGCTCGCCGCCTCCGGAGTAATGCCATCATGGAGGACGGAAATAAAGAGCTTTTGAAGTAGTTCAAGTACCGCTTTTCCATCCAATTTGAGAAACTCTGCTATAATTCCACCCTCACCCGGGGACTTTCCGTTTAAACGGTGCTGGAGAGCCATTCTAATCTCGCTCAGACTGACGTCCGGATTATCATCGGAATATTGTCGGATAAGACTTACCCTCGGATTGTTACTCACACACCACCAGGAGCCACGCCAACGATGATGTGTACAGCTGCCCATAGAACCTCTCAATCTCACTCAAATACTCCGGTGTCCCGGAAATATATGCTGTCACATTTGGTCTTCAGCTTCGACCCTTGGAGTTTTCTGGCAGACAGATATCTAGCAAAGAATTTGGAGACCTGTTTCCGCTCTATCTGTATTTGGAGATCATGTCCGTTTAGTTGCCCGTATGCTACCAAATCTGCTGAAAACTGCAGCTTCATTTCCCGTCTAACAGCCATGAGATTAAAAGTGTGATCGGAAAGTTTTTCTGTTCTTCTGCGGAGGGTCTTACTTAAGTTAGCTCCGACCGCATAGACAGTGTCCACGAGCTTGGCATTCATATTATCCACTGCATTGCAATCTTCTAGGCACTGTAAACGGTTTTGTAACTCGAGATAAATGGTTTCAGGACTTTGACTTAAAGAGTGAGGAAGACGGAGCGTTGACTTCATTAGACGAGACCTCTCCAACTCAACGTTTAGGTTCAGTGTGCCTTTCACCATTCTGTGATCGCTGCCCGTTTTTCCCCTAGCAATCACTGAGACATAACAAAACAGCTGCCGCTTAGTCGTCATAATGAAGTCAATGTCTTTTTTGTCGAATGGCCACGGTTCGACTAGGTCCACTTTCTTTAGGGCCGCTTCTGGAAGAAAGAGTTAATCACAAAGAGTTTCTCTTTTCCATGAAGTCGGCCAGCTGCTGGCTTCTATATTCTGATATATTTCTCTCCACCTCCTCATCGACATGTGCTGATGTTGGTGCGTTAACCTTTATGACCTTCAGCGAATACCGTTTGGTGATTCTGAGTATAAGGTCCGCAATCCTGGTCGACACATTCACAATCTTTACAACGTTGTTAACGGGAGAGTTGTGGACGATAAATCCGACACCTGCTTGGGGCAGATGGTCGGCCTCCCGGTGATAGAACAAGTTGCCGGATTCGAGGATTACCGTGTCCTCTCCCTCTCTTCGGACCTCGGATAAACCTATAATATTCTAGCGCAACTTGTTCATCTCTTTTTCCAGCTCCAGGATCTTTACGTCAATCCTTAGGGTACGTACTTTATATGTTGCCGATTGAGTCGTCTTAAGTGACAACCGTAGCCAGGAATAGCGGGGTCGTCGGGGACTAGGGGCTATATTTTCGTAACTTTTATCATAGAGGGTATATTGCCATAGTTGCCACGATTGGCAAGCGGGTATGCAACCGCAGTTTTTTTATTGTTATTTTGTTGTTATCAGAAACATGCTGCTGCCCATCTTGTGTCTCAGTTTCCCCCTGTCGCCTACCACTGACACCTGACGCCCACGGGAAGATATGGGGTAGTAGGCATTCTTGCCCGCCACAACATGGGATAGTAAAATAATGAAAATTAATTCACTTACAGGTCTGTCTCATTCCGAAGGCGGCATTGTGCACATTTGTTCATATGGAATACCTCATCGAAACCTATGTGTAAATGTTTAAGTGGATAAATACTATTGTGGAACAGGACAATCTGAAAATGTGTTCATACAATACATATATATTAGATTTGACGTTTTATTTTTTAGTGGTCGAACAACACTGCATAAATATATAACGGCTGCAGCATGAATAAGTCGGCTTGATCTGGGAAGGACAACACTCTCGCAGAATACTAGTGAAACATAGTAGCGTAACGCTGCTATGTTTTAAATTATCCGAGTAATGGGAACCCAATACCCTTTTACTGGTAACAAGGCATTCCATATTAGCCAAAAGGCAACTATGTGGCAATCTATGAGGGAGGCCTATGTTCAGCAGTGGACTTATATAGAATATAATGCATGGATATATTATTTCGTTTATATATTCTTAAAAGGTAAGAAGATAAATATGTAGATAGCATTTTTCCCACAGTTATTAAATAATAGGATACAATAATATATTCACTTGCAAGCAATAATGAGTTCAATTACTATGGTGAGAAATATTATGTTCTTATAAATTATTACTTTATGTTTTGATTTGCAAATCACTTATCGGCGGGGAAATAGTAGCACTAAGTATAGTGAGGAAACCTGTTGAGAAATTAAAATGATTAAGGACATGTCTAGTCCGACATTAAGCAACGTGAACGTGTGTCCTTCTTCTCTTCTGATCTAAAACCTATTGTACACCTAGCAGTGAGACGTGTCTTTTTTCTTTATCGGCTTTTAATGGCCATTAATAGACATTACCTCTCTCATTCCGAGAATTTGCCTTAATCTTAAAAAAATTAAAATAAGAATTACATATAATCTATATTGAAAAAAAGACGTCCATTAATGTGCAATCACCGGCCTGGATATTGTATCCTGGATTGTGTATTGTATTTACAATAAAAATTGATACAATAAAGCGATGTACATAAACAAAGCATCACCATCATCATTATCACCATTACAGCCGTTCACAAGTCCACTGTTGAACATAGGCCCCTCCCAAGGAATAGCACAAAGCACGGTCCTGAGCCAGGTTGTCACTCCATCTAGTGGTTTGAGACGTGGTTATTTTCTGCTAGTTGATAAGGAAGCTCATGGTTGCTCAGTGAGCTATGAAGAAGGCTATGCTCGGGCATTCTCTGCGTGATAGACTTAAAAATAAAGCTTAGCATGTGATAATTACCTGTTTTAACATGTCTTTAATTAAAGTCATACTTTCTATCTTACTGGGACAAATGGAATCGGGATATAATAGCACTTCTCTTAAATGGTTAAATTCGGATAATTTCAGTGCGTGCTCCAAATGGCCAAATGTTTGAATCAATGGAATTATTTCAAAACCTGCTCTTCCAGCTGCTGTGATAAACTGTCTTAGCTGAAATATAAAAAATAAATATCAATGTAAGTATGTATTTTTTCAAATAGTTAACCAAATTCTATGTTTCATGCTTTGCAAATAGACAATAGTTGATCGCTAAGCATGAGCCACTGTGTCGCAAAGCTGCTGAAACCATGAGTGTAGAGAACCGGAGCTCTTTTTCCGGAGACATTCTATCTTAGTCCTGAAGAATGACAATTTATCAACGTTTGGATCATGAGATTTAAATGAGAATGGGTATAGGTGTCTACAGGCCACAACATCCACTTACCATTAGGGAAACAGTGTGCTCATTTAACCAAACCTTACTCTTAATAAATAAATTAAAAAAAAACTGAAATATAATGAGAAAAGAATCTAAAACAATTCACCTTTTCTCTAATTTTTTTTTCTAATATTCTCACACACGAGACCCTTTTTACTGGAAACGAGGCATTCCATCTTAGTCCTCACGGGTGACAACGCATCTGCATTTTGGTTCTTAATCGAAGATAGATGTAGATGTCTATGGGCCACAGCAACCACTTACCATCAGGTGGACTGTGTGCTCGTTTGTCACCCTTATCCTATAAAAAAACACATGTATACGCTACTCTCATCTGTGGAGGATTTGCGGTGGTATATCAAATATATATCAAATTAAATAAAAGTTAAAATCGACTAAAAGAAATAGTAAGGGCGAGCAGATTTAGATTTTGTGCGGTAACTGTGACTAAAATCTACCAAAAAAAAACAAGGGAGATGTTTTATGTTTTAAATTAGACTATATCTGCTAAAGTATTTTGAATTTTAGCCGACATTAAACACATCCACACGTTAAATAATCATATCAGATTCCCTATACTAAAGCATTAAGCAAGAAGTAGGTAGGTTTTAACACGTTTCCCGAAATTAATATATTATATCATCACAAGGCACAACAGGCCCCCTCATCGGTTGCCATTTGGTTAAATTTTATTACCATTAAGTTACTTGAAAACTGTAAGTGTACTCTTTTACTTATGATAGTGGTCTTCAAACTACAGCGCCCGGGCCTATGCCAGTCAGTGGGCACAACCATACAAATAACTAATTCAGTGTGTCGGTATATTGAGTTAGATAGCCTTTGAGATTTAATGGAGATATCAGTTCTTTGTCTAAGGGCTACCTTAGACTAAAAAATTTGGACACCCCTGACTTAAGACAACATTATGTATCTTTTAATAGTCTTTCTTGGAGATTCCATATAATTTTTTTTATAGAGTAGAAATGACAAACGAGATAACAGTTCTTTGATGGTATGATCAAGTGTCTGCTGCTACAATCCATGGTCTTCAGGTGAAATCATTGCATTGCACTGCATTGTCAATTTTACGAATAATATGGAATATACCACAGCTCACAATTACACCGACTGTACATATTCTTCAAGCTTGTACACAACAATTGATGTACTTCTATTTGGCAGCAAAAGTGGGTTAGAGGGTAGTACCTACGTGGAAGGATTCTAAGACCTAAAAAGAGACTAATTAGACTGATTTATTCGGACGCAGTGTATCGTTGATAAATAAGTAAAATAATAATTTAAAATCGTAGTTCGTAATGCGTACATCAATAAAGGGGAAATATTTTTCAGAGTCAGTTTTATCATCTGAACACAAGATTAGAATAAATATAAAATGTAGTCAAGCCAAGTCAGTGTACTTAACCATCTTCGGCTGCATCTCTATTTGCCATCAGATCACGTATAGGTATTAGTCAAGCATTGAATTGCATTGGTAAAAAATGACATACCTACCTCGTGTTCTTTGTAGCATATATTAGAACTTAAACTTGCAATATTTCCTTTGTAAGGAAACATATCTTCGTATTCCATCAATAACGCGTTAACACCAAGATCCTTGAACAGAGGAAGAACTGACTCAAGGTAAGCTAGTTTTGGCGGAGATCCTTTTAAATCAATGTGAACGACGACTTTTGATAAATTAACTCCCAATGTTCGCATTTTCATAGTTTTATGTTTGTGTAAAAACCAAGCGTGCAATAAAATGTAAAATAAAGATAGATAAACAGCTCCCATAAATATTGTTATCGCGCTAATTTTTATTGTTATAAGCCGAAGCTTAATTAAGCTAGGCATAATAATGTTTTCGTTTATCACAAACAAATAAACCACTGTTGTCACAATGAACTTTCAACCGCTCACAAACTATGAACACGACACATTCTGTGCAGTTCCTACGCTGCTACTCACATGTATTGCTTCAGTTATAATTCAATTAGTTTGAGTACATGTTAAGGACAGGCGCTCGATGATATTTTTTATTTCCTATTTTAGCTAATTGGCTGAATTTCGCTTAACCTGAGTAAATATATGTCTAGTCATTGCATGAAAAATATGATCGAAAAAAATGAGTAATTAAAAATTTTAAAAATATGTAGCTGACTATAACATTTCATTTCATATTTTTATAAAATTAAAGTTAAACAAATTTACGAATATAATGTGAAAAGATGGTTGAAATTGTCTTGAAAAATCTAAATCAACTACAACTGCATTGGTTGGGAAGAAATTATGTAACAATAGACTTTAAATGACTCGACAATAAATTGATACCCTTGAGTGCATTCTTCGTAGTTAAGCGGGAAACGAGTTCGCTTTATAGTCGTGGCGTTTAAAAATAACGCAGAGTACATCATGCTGTTTTGTCCATAGAATTTATTTTTCATTACTGTAACAGTTTATAAATTCTAATCCATTATTTATATATATTAACTTTAGTTTTCGTTTGTTCTTCCTCCGTACAGGAATGGGTCACCTGTATCTTCCGTAGTCGCTGACATATTCATGGAGGACTTTGAGGAGAAAGTCCTTCTTACTGCTCGTGTAAATCCTAAATTCTACAAGCGGTACGTAGACGATACCTTCACAATTTTTCCATCTGACAAAGCAACTGCATTTATAAACCACCTTAATTCCATAAACCCTAAAATACAATTCATAATGGAGTTAGAGGCAAACAATTCTTTAGCTTTCCTAGATGTTTTAGTCATCCGAATCCTGATAACTATTGGTCATACTGTGTACAGGAAAAAGATCCATTCCAACCGATATTTAAATGGTGAATCACACCATCATCCTTCACAGTTAGCTACCGTGGGAAAATCTTTGTTTCAGAGAGCACGAGGGATCTGTGACAGAAAACATCTGGCCGCCGAGCTTCAGCACGTCGAGCAAGTACTGCAAGATAACAAGCTTCGGGTCCCGCGCCTGCGTCACAGTGACTGAATGAAGACGGCCACAGTCGAGCGTGTGCCTGCTGTACTACCCTATGTCAGAGGAGTCACAGACAAGGTTGGCTATATCTTGAAGCGAGCTTCCATTAAAACATACTTCAAGTCGCCGAAGAAGATTGGTCAATTTTTACCATCCGTCAAGTGTCATATCCCTCTACAAAATGCAGGAGTGTACAAGCTGGATTGTGAACGTGGTCTCTCTTACATAGGATAAACAAAAAGATCTATAAAAACCCGCGTTAAAGAACATATAGCTGACGTGAAGCACCGACGTATCGGGAAGTCTGCAGTTTGTGAACATGTTTAAGATCGTCCCCGCCATTACATTAGATTTGATAAACCACAAATCCTCGCAAAAGAACACCAATTCCCTACCAAGGATGATTCGCGAGGCTAATGAAATTAAAAAACATCCTAATTTCAATAGAGAAGATGGATGGGTGCTGCCATCTGCCATGCTATAATTAATAAAATTAAATCTAAACCCAAGTATACCACTGCTAGATTTCAAGATACTGTAAGCTCATTCTGCGTAAATCGAACCTTAAATTAATATTAAAGAACTGAAGGTAGCCCGGCTAACTATGACATCGGGACGTCAAACACCTCAGTGCCCCCCGTGACCATGGGTGCTGTAAAGCACCCGAAACGTCGAGAATTAAAAAGTTAAAATTAAACGCGATATATTCCGTAAAAATAGTTTCATTTAACGTATTATTTATTTGTTATTTGTTAGAATCTTAGTAGCAATGGCTAAGCGCTCACAGTAAATTATACAGTACGTGAGCAATCTGGATTCTTGCGCCGCTGCCAACAATGAAATTGTTAATTGAAATTTTAAATACTGATTTTAAACTCTCTCAGAAATGAGAGGAGGCTTGTGCTACTGCTGGTGTGAAACGAATCTGGACTGTAATTTTACTTGCTTTCTCTGTTAGAACGAGGACAAACTTCGCTTACTGTTTTTGACAGTTGGACTTTTTCATTATTAACTGCAAAAAGGAATTAGGTTAAGTTGTCTTCAAATAAAGAAAATTGGAAGCTGATGCCATAATATCGAAGGCAGTTTTAATGTAGTATCAGAAACTTTTAGATAATTACAAAATCACGGTTCTAAAATGGCACCCAAGAGAATTTATCAATAAGGAATGTATCGTACCTCTTTAAATAAATACCTGTGAGATCTTGACGAGAGTAATCTCATATTTTCATATCATACTCTCAACGAGACCAGTGACGTACTTATGAAGCGGGTGTAAAAAAAACAAAAGTGCAGGTAAGGCTTTGCACATTGCTTTGAAGATGGGGTATGGAGCCCATAGTAATTTTTAAAACGTTTAAAAATCTGGGCATCAGTTGTGTGTTTGTGTATCACGCTAATAACAGGTACACCAAAAACTTTGTCGAAAACCATAAAAGATCGGGACGATCCCGGCGAAACATAGGGGCTGTTAGAATAGAATAGAATAGCATAGAATGATTTTTATTTATTATTGATTATTACATAAAACTTATTGAAAGTCATTTTTTATTTACCACTTTTTTAGTTACAAAACCTCTGTTCTGGGAAGAACCAGCAAGAAACCCAGCGGGACTTAAAAAAAAAAAACCACAATTTACAATATAATATTTCAAACAATTGTTATGAAAACATTTAGAAACAGCATGGTAGCGATCACCACACTCCCAGGGGTTATTATCAGTAATGTACTTTTTAGTAGTATAATAACCCTTACTAAACAATTTTTGCTTAATAAATAATTTAAACCTTTTGATAGAAAAAAGTTATGCTATCAAAGCCAGTATTCGACGAAATTCTAATAGGAAATGATTTTTACGGACTGATACGACTTAAGGACCTTCAAGAAAAGAGCTTACTCCTTTTTAAAAGGCCGGCAACGCATCTGCAATTCCCCTGGTGTTGCATTGTTCATGGGCGACGGTAGTCACTTACCATCAGGTGAGCCGCATGCTCGTTTGCCCCCTCTCCTATAAAAAAAAATATTACTAATCAATAGTTTATATCAAAGAGGAATAATTGTATAGATTCATATTAAACTCTCCATGTAGTGGCGGGTAAGAATACTCACTACCCCATATCTACCCGTGGGTGTCGTAAGAGGCGACGTAGGGAAACTGAGGCAGAGGATGGACAGCAGCATCTTTCTGATCTTGCACAGTAAAACAACAATAAATAAAAAAAACTGCGGTTGCCAACCCGCTCGCCAAGCATGGCAACTATGGCAATATACTGCCCCCCATGATAAAAGTTACAAAAAGACGGCCCCCAGTCCCCGGCGGCCCAGCTATTCCTGGCTACGGTGGAGACCATTGTAACGGCGGGGCAGGGGGTGCTAAGAATCTCCGGTAGAGGTTCGGTTGCCACCTACGACGACTCGACCAGGCAACTTATAACGAACTCACCCTGAGGACTGACGAGAAGGTCCTGGAGCTGGAAGAAGAGATAGACAAGTTGCGCTGGAATATCATAAGATTATCCGAGGTCCAAAGAGAGGGGGAGGACACGGTAATCCTCGAATCCGGTAACTTGTTCTATCACCGAGAGGGCGACCATCTGTCCCAAGGAGGTGTCGGATTTATCGTCCACAAGTCTCTCGTTAACAACGTTGTAAAGATTGGGAGTGTGTCGACGAGGGTTGCGTACCTTATACTCAAAATCACCAAACGGTATTCGCTGAACGTCATACAGGTTTACGCACCAACCTCGGCACACCCCGATGAGGAGGTGGAGGAAATGTATGAGGATATCTCTAGAGCCATGCATTCCTCCAAAACCCACTATACGGTGTTAATGGGAGACTTCAACGCAAAACTAGGCACAAGAGAGAACGGTGAGCTGAAAGTAGGTAAATTTGGAATAGGGCAACGGAACCCAAGGGGCCAGCAGCTGGCCGACTTCATGGAGAAAGAGGGACTCTTTATGATGAACTCTTTCTTCCAGAAGCGGCCCCACAGGAAGTGGACCTGGTCGAGCCCCGACAGTTCGACAAAAAATGAGATTGACTTCATTATGACGACCAGACGACAACTGGTCAGTGATGTCTCAGTGATCGCGAGGGTGAAAACTTTCCTTGTCCTTGTCCGAAACCTTTCAGTTCGATCTACGAAACCGTTTTCAGTGCCTAGAAGATTGCAATGCAGTGGACGATATGAACGACAAGTTCGTGGAAACTGTCCATGCGGTCGGAGCTAAGTTTAGCAAGACCCACCGCAGAAGAACACAAAAACTCTCCGATCACACTCTTAATCTCATGGCTGTAAGAAGGGATATAAAGCTGCAGTCTTCAGTAGATTTGATAACATACAGGCAACTGAACAGACAGATCTCCAAATGCATGCGGCGGGACTTACGCAACTTTAATACTGCTCGTATTGAAGAAGCGGTCGAGTGGAACCAGGGCTCCAAAGTCTTTGCTAGAGATCTATCTACCAGAAAGCGCCAACTGTCGAAGCTGACGACCGAGTGTGGCAGCGTCGTTTCCGGGACACCTGAGATTTTTAGTGAGATTGAGAGGTTCTATGGGCAGCTGTACACATCATCGTAGGAGCCACACGTAAGTGTGAGTAACGATCCAAGGGCGAGTCTTATCCGACGCTATTTTGATTATATCCTGGACGTCAGTCTGAGCGGGATTAAAATGGCTCTCCACCACCTTAAAAACGGCAAGGCCCTAGGCGAGGATGGAATCACAGTGGAGCTTCTGAAAGCGGGTGGAAAATCGGTACTTGAAGTCCTTCAGAAGCTCTTTAATTCCGTACTCAATGGTGGCATTACACCGGAGGCGTGGAGCAGAAGTGCGGTGGTCTTGTTCTTCAAGAAAAGTGACAACGCTCTCTTGAAGGACTACAGACCGATTTCCCTTCTGAGCCGCGTCTACGTGCTGTTTTCGAGAGTCATTACGAATCGTCTCGCGCGCAGACTTGACGACTTTCA